ATTAAGATACTTAGAAAAATGCATACAGTTCGTAGCACCAGATAGTTTCCTTTGTCTGTTATTACCAGCTGCCTATCAACTAACATTTCGTTGTCTCGTTTCGTTTCAACTCGTTTCGTTTCATTCCAATTCCTCTCACTTCGTTCTATTTTATTTAATTTGAAAAAGGTTCCAAAAAGACCTTATAATTAAAATTTAAAAAAAAATTGGGGAAGAAGTCATAGATCATATGAGTCATCTTCTTTTGTCTATAATTAATTCCCGTTTCATTCCTTTCCTCTTTCCTCTTCCACTATTTAATGTCAAACATGCCAGTGCGTAGCCTCACCCCGCAAAGATGATAATTGAACAAGCTACCGGATGCCCAAAAAGAAAAAAAAAAATATCAACCAGAAGCTAACTATGAAATAGTTGAAAAAGTCAGGGCAAAAGAAAAGCGCAGGCGGAAAATCATATTAACAGCAACCGCAAAAAATGCCGTGGACCGAAGACCGGAGACCGTAGACAGTAGACGTGGCTGCCTTTGATGAAAGGGTTATTTTTTTTCAGAAGGCAAACAGCAAAAAAACAAGAACTGAAATTTCTGTGTGTGAGGGTGGCGGCTATTGGTTAGCATGCTCTAACGGTGTATAAGAACCCGATACGAGTCGCGTTGCCAACGTCATAAAAAAAAAAGGAAAAAAAAGGGCAAAAAGTGGAAAGAGGGGCAAAAACAACTAGAAAGAAATAAGAAAAATGTCAAATGAAGCGCGCGTTTTGCATGTCAAAGCGTGCAAATAGCCAAGAGCTGGATGCGTGGCAGCAGGCAGGGTCCTGATGGAGAGAGGAGGGGAAGAGGGTGGTGGGGGGGGGGGGGGTGGTCTCCAGTAAAGCAGGTCCTGAAGAGTCGATAGCTGTTGAGCCCCTTTGAGGAGTTTGCGTTGACACTTGACTTTAAATTGAGCAAAAAGTTGCCTCATTCTCATTGCCATCGTTCCCTGTTCCATTCCCCCCGTCCCAGCCGTGATTTAGCCCCTTCGCTGCATACTTTGAACATCGTCATAAATATGAATTACGTGTGGAAAAATGCTTCTTGCGCTTCAGATGAAAATTTGCGCAAAAGTTTAATGCAATTTTCTTTTTGCGCAAACAAAGACAGGGATTTACTCGGGCATCTTCCGGGCCAGGACGAAGTTTACCAGCCGCTTAGCTCCGGCAACGGACTATCCTTTTTTTTGTTTTTTATTATTTTTATTATTTTTATTACTCCTTCTACCGGGGCACGCCCAGGTGGCCAATACAAAACTGCATCGTTGGGAGCTTATAAACCGGCGCATTAGCTTTGATGATACTTTTATTGCCATAGAATCCAATGGCCGACAAGGGACAGGTTAGAACTGAAACAGAAACTAGAACTGAAACTGAACGCTGAGTGTAGGCCAAAAGCAGAATGCCAATGCGGGATTTGATGTGGATAACAGGCATAACATATTTGAGACAAACACACACATAATTGTTATGCAATATATTTATTAAAGAGGTTTAACTCCTTAAGATATAAGATCTATGTATAAAGTAGTCCATTTAAGCGGGTTTTCTCTGAGTTGCTAGAAGGCTTATGAACTTGAGAAAGCAACCTGTTATTTGATCTTAAACATTATTTAAAACATAAAAAATTTATTGTAGACAGATCTACAAGATCTTTGGAATGAAAACACGAAAGACATCTTCTATAACTGATCAAAGCGAGCAAAAGGCAATTTGGTTTTCTAATTTTATAAAGTTCTCCTTTAAACAGTTCCAAAAATTAACTGTTATATTTTATATGAATTATAATAGGGTATATTTTGTACTTGATCTTTGAATTCGGACTACACAGCACAATTTACAAGTTATATTCGACTACTACAATAGCCTTGATGATTCGAACCAGCATCCTTCTTTTATAGTTCAAAGACAAGCTCACAAGTAAAATATACTTATATTAATTTGAGCAATAAGTTAGCTTAAAGAGCGTTACGTAAGCTGCATATAGAAATGTTCTAGGCCCCAAGATTTGATCTGAATTGTGCGCTGTTCCCATGAGATGCCCCTGTCAAAGGCTGATGACCGTTGCATTTAGCAGCTTAAATTGGAATTGGCCTTTCGAGAGAGTGCCTCAAATTGGCGGTCAACGACTTGATTTTTACTCTATAAAAGATACACACACACACACACACTGACGTACAAATCAAAGAAAAAACATGCAACACACTGAAATTTTTGTTAATGCGACGCGCGGCAAAACTTTTGTCATGTTTTTCATATTTTTGTTGTTCTTCTTGTTGATTCTTCTCTTCTTTTTTTATTTGTGCACAAATTTTTTCATTCTTTTCTTTTTTTGGGAATTTGTTGTTGTTTTGTGGTTCGGTTCTGTTTTGTTGCCTTAACTGACTAATTTAGTGGCCGGAGTTCAATGTATTTCATAAATTTCGACTAAACGCTCAAGGACAATGCCGCATATCGAATATGCCCGGCAACTTTCTGCATGTATGTGTGTGTGTGTGTGTGTGTGTCTCTGTAAAGCATTGCGCTATACACTGAGACAAATAAGTAAAAACAGTTCCAAATTCTAAAACGATCGGGATCAGTTACAAATAGCTTGGATTAATGAATTTTAAGCATTATTTGTTCGGAATTTATTTTGAACATTTTTGTTAGAAACAAATGGAAAAGACTTGGTTTAAGTATTTACTCTACTCTAAATAAGCAAAACACATTCTCAATTGAGGTTCAAAAGTTCTTGGTAAAAGCAAAAAGTTCTTAGAATAAGAACTTTGTTTTCAGCTCGAGTCACTTGGTTTAAGCACAATTTACTTTATATAATAATTTCCACACCTAATTCGATTTGGAATTTCATCAATTTCATTTATAACTTATTCTAAATCTTGAAATAAGAATTTTAGTTGCAGATTATGAATTTTTGAGCTTGATTACATTTTTGCCAAAGATTACTGTACAAAAAACTTGTCGAAAGAACTATCAAACTTAAAATAAGACAAAAATTATTAAGATTATCATAATATTGATTTAATTAGGTTCCATATATTTCTTGTATTTGTAGTTTTAGCTTTTAAAGTAAGCGTTAAGGTTTTGAGACATAAATTGAATTTCTAGCACAATCAATAACCAAGTTCCACCATTTAAACACAAAATACCCATTTATTTCGCTGAGTGCATTGTGCTCGAAAGTATTTATTGAAAAGTGCACAAAACAGAGCCTCGAATTTGCGCCTGAAGATCTGAAGATCGTTGACTTATTCGAGAGAATCTGCGCGCTGAGCTCATCTCGAGCGGAAGTCATAACGGTCAGTGCGATATGCATGTGTGCGCGCGTGTGTGTGTGTGTGTGTGTGTGTGTGTGTGTGAGGGAGGGTAGGGAGGGGGGGCCTGATTTATGTGTATTTGTTTGTTGAATTTGCAGTTGGAGACTTGCGGGTTTCTGCTTCGCTTAGCGCCATCAAGTCAAATACGACTCTGCTGCCACTTCCACTTGCCGCCTGCAACGCCCCTCCCGCCCCCTGCCCCCTACCCCCTTCACCACACGCGCTGGTGTCTGCAAAATTCATTGAGCGTCGAGAGTATCGGCAATCAGTAATTAATGGCTTTGTCCGTCTGTGCGCAACATGTGTGCCAGTATGTGTGTGTGTGTGTGTGTGTGTGTGTATAATTTTGATTCTTTGCATTTTGTCTGCGATCCTCACTCGGCTCTTGGCGCGATCAAATGCTGGAATTTCGTTGATAGCGCCGCCAAACATCCTGTTGTTGTTGTTATTGTTGTTGTTGCTATGTCTGTGCCTGTTGTTGTTGTTGCCGCGATTGTGTCTTTGGTCTCTTCAGTTTGGCATTTCGCAAACGTCTGCACGTCTACATATCTGACTGGCTGGGGCACAGACTGCGACTGCGGCTGGGATTGTGGAGTGGGGCATGGGACATGGGGCATGGGGATGCGACTGAGAATGGGGCTTGGGCGCATTTGGTTTGCTATTTTTAATGTTGACACGTTTGAAGATCATTGACTCGCCTTGCAGACGGTCAATGTCCACTTTTTGCCCAGACAGCCGGAGGAGGGGGGATGGGCGGATGGGGGGATTGGGCATTAGGAAGCGGGCATTGGAAATGAAAATGTGAATGTGAATTATGCGCAAAATGTGGTTTCGGTTGGTTGGTGATGACAGGATCCGGCAGCCGTGAGTTCGTGTGCCAGAAGCAGAAGCAGAACAATGCATTATCTCAGATCAATAGATCACGATCGTTTGCCAGATAAAACACAGATAAATGTAAGTTAGTGTGTGCACTCAAGACAATTAAGCGAGTAGATCTGCTTTTTTCCAGTGATCAATGATCTGGTATTTTAGCTTTAGCCAGATATGCGAAGAGGATTTCTTTTTATTGTTGCGTATGTTCAATTCTACATTGTGATGCTTGTCAAATCTCTTTAGAGCATGTAGATCGCTATAATCATCTTTTCTGACGATCATCTTAAGTATTCTTCGTTATAATTGTCTTGGCTGAAGAGTTACGATCAATTTTCTATAAAATATTATTATGTTGTATATATGTATATTTCAGTCAATCAGACTCAGTCAGATATGCAAAAATTATATAATAATATATGGTAAAAGCATGATTTATTCAATATAAATATATAATGTATGCCAATAAAGTTTTATAACTATTAAAAGAAAAAAAAAAATAAACCAATATTTGAAATTAAATATACTTAAAAGAGAGAGCATTTGTTTAGTTCCTAATTTATTTTGATTCTTGAATAAGAATACTTTCTTGAATATATGTATTTTTATACATATATATATTTTTCTAAGATATTTATCATCCACAATTGTATAAAAATTCAAATTTTATCAGATATGCAAAGAATATTATGTATATTATTATTTTATTATAAGTGTGCTTTTATGTGCTTTAAGTTTAGCCAATTTTGGCAATGTTTTAACCGAAAAATGTTCTGTCTTTTGCAGATGATTTACAAAAGTAACAGTAAATTGCTCATCAAGATCAGTTCGAAACGCCTCGCGATCAGTTCAATTAGCTAGGGTACTCTCCGCAGCCGGGACTCGGACAATCCATACACTCGACGATCTTATGAGAGTGAACCGAGTGTTGTTGTTGTTGTTGGAACTGACATTGACATGATCCACAACGGCTGTCATAAATCTCACCTACCTTGGCTGGCACTTGATGGGATTGTTCCCGGAATCGTTCGGTGGCTTACGTTTGGCGTTCGGTTCTTGCTGTTGGTGGTCAAAAGGATCTCGAGATGAAGGAAAAAAAGTGCAAATCACTTCATTAAAGCATTGCATACGCGACGACCCCCGCAGCTGCCCCCACGTTGCGTAGTTGCGCCGACGTCGCGACGTCTCCGATTTGCAACTTTGTTGCGCAAGGCTCCATACGGGAGGCTGCACATCATTTGGCTTAATGGATCCGCGGCAACAACAATGACAACAACAAACGGCAAACAGCTTTGCCTGTTTGCTCTGACCCGCAAAAAGTTCGGTATTGGTGGATCGCGGCATCGCCAATCGTTGACTGTGCGCGGTTCGAACCATCAAAACGAACGAGCAACAACAACAAGAAAAAACAACGAAAGAGTTATAGTCGAAAGTGCTGGACTTGAAACTACCCTGTGCCCAAGTCGTGAGTCAAAAAGTTGCCTTTTAATCTAGAAGCATCAATTAAATAATATATCAATTTTATATTTCATGAGATTCGAATAGAAAGGCGATATTTAAAAGCTAAAGAGAAACAATGAGGGAGGCTCGGAAAGAGTGATAAGTAAGATTGATAGAGAAAACAAATAAAAACATAAATAAATTTGTTTTTTTTTTTCAGATTAATCCTCATTCGAATAATAAAAAATATATTGCCAATGGAAAATCAAGAACATATCAACTCGTGAACTCATGCTAATCGGAAAAAGGTAAGATATTAGTTTACTCAAATTAACCTTTGTCAAAGACTAGTATGTATAATAATATAAATAATAGGAGTATTCCGTTAGATCATGACAAACGCAAAGAAAGCTAAAATTGTAGTAAACCCCATTTGGCCATTGGTAAAGGGTAAATGATTGTAACAACAAAATATTCGTCGTCGTCTTTATTCGCTGATGTATTTAAAAATGTTCTGCAACATTGTTGCATGGGAATGGGGCAAACTCTGAGTTGAAGCTGAAGCTGACGCTGCACTTGCGGCGGCCATTCGAACTCATTTGACAAGACCAAATCGGTACATTCGAGTATTTAAATTGAGTGCTCGGCCCAATTATTAGATCTTAATCTGCTATCCTCAATCTCTCAGTCGTTGGCTCATTGGCTCGTTTTTGTGCCATTTCTGTAACTTTAATTACTCGCATAATTTCAACACCTAAAACGATTACGGACCATTGTCGCAGAAAGCAAAAGCAGTCGAAATAAAAAAAAATCCCCCAAAGAAAGCATAGCAATCGCAACTGAAAATGGTGTTAAGTATTTACACGTGCGTTGGCCATAAATGGCAGCTGAGACAGAGAGTTTCGCCTACAATTATTTACCAGAGATATTAAAAATATAATAAAGACAGATTTCATATTCGAACAAACCAAAATCATGAACAAACCGTTTTTTGTTAAATATTTTGATGTAATTAGATGATGATTGCCATCAATGAAATCAACCCGAATGCTTACATGAAAATATTTGACGTAAAACCGTTTGGTCACGATTTTGATTAGGGTATCTCGGGTAAACATTGTCTGATTTTGAGATGTTATACTTTTTTGAATTCGTACGGACTCCTACCATTAATATGCATTCAAAGAGTTGAAAAATTGATGGGTCATAGAAAGTTATTGACCACAATTCATTTTCCCTGTAAAGTCAACCTCTTCTTTATCATTTTTTGGCATATCTCGGCTAAATAATTTCAGATTTTGGAATTTTATACCATTTTGGACTTGTAAGGATCAGTACTATCGATTGGCATCAAAAGACTTAAAGTCTAAATTTTGGCCCAAATCGACCAAAAAGCAAGGGGTTACATCACGTTTTTTCTCAAAATCGGGATCGGGTCGAAAATGAACACTTTTTTGATGATTTATTTTGAATATCTCGGGTAAAAAAATTCTGATTTTGAAATAATATACCTTTTTGAATTTGTATGAATCCCTACCATCAATTGGCATTCAAACTTTAATAAAATCGATGGGTTATAGAAAGTCGTGGACCAAAAACGATTAATTTGTAAATTCAACCTTTTTTTAATGATTTTTTGGCATATCTCGGCTAAATAATTTCAGATTTTGGAATTTTATACCATTTTGGACTCGTAAGGATCAGTACTATCGATTGGCATCAAAAGAATTGAAATCAAAATTTTGGCCCAAATCGACCAAAAAGCAAGGGGTTACATCACGTTTTTTCTCAAAATTGGGGTCGGGTCGAAAATGAACACTTTTTTGATGATTTATTTTGAATATCTCAGGTAAAAATTGTCTGATTTTGAAATATTATACCTTTTTGAATTTGTATGAATCCCTACTCTCCATTGGCATTCAAACTTTAATAAAATCGATGGGTTATAGAAAGTCGTGGACCAAAAACGATTAATTTGTAAATTCAACCTTTTTTTAATGATTTTTTGGCATATCTCGGCTAAATAATTTCAGATTTTGGAATTTTATACCATTTTGGACTCGTAAGGATCAGTACTATCGATTGGCATCAAAAGAATTGAAATCAAAATTTTGGCCCAAATCGACCAAAAAGCAAGGGGTTACATCACGTTTTTTCTCAAAATCGGGGTCGGGTCGAAAATGACCACTTTTTTTTTATTTATATTGAATATCTCGGGTAAAAATTGCGAGATTTTGAGGTTTCATATATTTTTGAATTTGTACTTATCCCTTTTATCAATTGGCATTCAAAGAAATTCAATATCGATGGGTAAAAAAAAATTATTGACCAAGAACCGATTCGTTTTCAAAATCAACCTTTTTTCATGATTTAAAAACGACATATCTCCCCGAGGAGCTATGTCGCTTCAAAACGACATATCTCCCCGCGGAGATATGTCGATTCAAAACGAAATTTCCTCGCGGAGATATGTCGTTTCAAAACGACATATCTCCCCGCGGAGCTATGTCGCTTCAAAACGACATATCTCCCCGCGGAGCTATGTCGCTTCAAAACGACATAATCGACATATTTTTTTTTTCTCGCGGAGATATGTCGTTTCAAAACGACATATCTCCCCGCGGAGCTATGTCGCTTCAAAACGACATTTCTCCCCGCGGAGCTATGTCGCTTCAAAACGACATTTCCTCGCGGAGATATGTCGTTTTAAAACGACATTTCCTCGCGGAGCTATGTCGATAATTTTAAAATACCCATAGCTCGGGCAAATCCTTAAGGTTATCGAAAGGATATATGGTTTTGAACTCGTGGGGATCAGGACTATCGATTGGCATTCAAGGATTTCCAGAATTCGACAAAAAATTTCATCGAAATATATCCTATGGGATTGATTAGTCGCAAAATTGGCCAAAATCGAAAAATTCCGCGCTAACTTCGCCATTTGAAGGACTATCGGGATGTCCTTTGGCCAGTAGATAGTCCTCAGTATCCCATTTAAGAATTTACAACCCAAAGGACGAAAGTCCTTCAGACAAAAAAGTTTTAAGGACGATTTTGCTTGAATAAATTAGGCCATAACTCGACCATATCCTGGAAAGTCATGTGTCAAAATAATTGTGTTGGCCAGGACTATCACCTGGCCAAATTTCATTGAGATCGTCCTTGTAGTTTGTGAGATATTTAAGGATTTGTGTTTTCGGGCCGTTTCCGTGCGCTCCGAGACAGAAATTTTACAAGTCCCATTTCGAGTCATATGATTCTTAGCTGACCCCATATTTTTATGATGCAGATCGATGCAGGGGGTCTATAGGATCCTAACGCACCATGTCCTTTGAAAATCTGCAAGGACATGCCCGAGATATGGCCAATTTTCCGATTTTATAAAATTCTTTATATGTTTAATTTAAATGTGTTTTTATCATTTCAGACTGCCAAATTAAGGACTACAAGGACCTCTAAGGACCTCTACGAGGGACACAGCAGATTTTTTCAGGATCGGACTTAAATTAAGCCATATGTAGTTATTTAAAGTTAAAAAAAGCAATAATTATAATTTATGCCCGTTTGTATCATTTTAAGAGAATTAATTGAGAAATTTTATAAATTTAAACATAAATAAATCAATTATTTAAAAAAACATAAGAAATTCGTGTTTTTTATTTAAAAATTCAAAAATCAACGGTTTTTTTAATCCATTGCATACCCGCCAGGGGCGTCCGTTGGCAACCGGTGGCTGCCGAGATTTTTCATAAAATCTGCAAAAATACCACGCGAACAGAAATGCCCAGAAGGTCGACAAAAAATATTTTTAGCTGTCGAAAAAATTTCATTGCATACCGGCCGCGCGGTGATATGACGTTCTAAAACGACATAACTCCGCGGGGAGAAATGACGCTCTAAAACGACAAAACTCCGCGGGGAGATATGACGCTCTAAAACGACATAACTCCGCGCGGAGATATGACGTTCTAAAACGACATAACTCCGCGCGGAGATATGACGTTCTAAAACGACATAACTCCGCGCGGAGATATGACGTTCTAAAACGACATAACTCCGCGCGGAGATATGACGTTCTAAAACGACATAACTCCGCGCGGAGATATGACGTTCTAAAACGACATAACTCCGCGCGGAGATATGACGTTCTAAAACGACATAACTCCGCGCGGAGATATGACGTTCTAAAACGACATAACTCCGCGCGGAGATATGACGTTCTAAAACGACATAACTCCGCGCGGAGATATGACGTTCTAAAACGACATAACTCCGCGCGGAGATATGACGTTCTAAAACGACATAACTCCGCGCGGAGATATGACGTTCTAAAACGACATAACTCCGCGCGGAGATATGACGTTCTAAAACGACATAACTCCGCGGGGAGATATGACGTTCTAAAACGACATAACTCCAAGGGGAGATATGACGTTCTGAAACGACATAACTCCGCGGGGAGATATGACGTTCTAAAACGACATAACTCCGCGCGGAGATATGACGTTCTAAAACGACATAACTCCGCGCGGAGATATGACGTTCTAAAACGACATAACTCCGCGCGGAGATATGACGTTCTAAAACGACATAACTCCGCGCGGAGATATGACGTTCTAAAACGACATAACTCCGCGGGGAGATATGACGTTCTAAAACGACATAACTCCAAGGGGAGATATGACGTTCTGAAACGACATAACTCCGCGGGGAGATATGACGTTCTAAAACGACATAACTCCAAGGGGAGCCAAAATACCAGGCGAACAGAAATGCCCAGAAGGTCGACAAAAAATATTTTTGGCTGCCGAAAAAAATCATTGCATACCCTCACGGAGCGGCCTGCTCGGCAGCTACGGCCCAAATTTGCCCTAAAATTCCGTTCAGATACCAGGCGAACAGAAGTGCCCAGAAGGTCGCCGAGTGGTTTGAATAAAAATTTTCATTGCATAGCATTACGGGGCAAAAATGTAACTCAATTAAAATGAGTGCTGTTAATTAGCAGAATATGTAAAATGAGTGCTGTAATCCGCCTGTTAAACAACAGCTGCAGCTGCAGCTAATGTAAAAGGGCTCCTGAAAGAAAAAGCATACATGTTTTTGGACCATTTCAATGCGCATTTTGCAGGGATCGGATCCTTTAGGTTCCCAAGGACTATATCGATGGTATGGTATAACCAACGATATGCTGGTCAACTAGAAACCATTCAGGGGGCGGGGCTGCTGTTGGGGGCGGCTGTAAAAGAAAAGCATTCATATTTTTGGACCCTGTTCCTACGTATTTTGCAAGAACTTAATCCTTTAGGTTCGCTAGGACTGCATCCATGATATTGAATAAACAAGGATATATAGGTCAACTAGGTACCATGAATAGCGATCATTTCCTGACCAAATATTGTCCATTGGCGAAGATTCGGCTGAAAAATAAAAAACTAAAATACATCTTTTATAAATACTATGGAAAGAGATACCTTTAAAGTTTTCTGAGTCTTTAACATTGACGGAACTCTACAAATTGTTGATTAGAGGATCGACGCAGATTGGCAACAACGTTCATGAATTTAAATACAATTTTGTTTAAGGTATATCATATTCATGGCATGAAATAGCCAAGGTAATTCTGGTATTTAACGTGATTAATAAAGCATTTTTAGCTGCAAATTTAAATAGAAAAAAGCGAATTAGTATTTTGTAAGCTTTCAATATTATTTGAATTAAGTCCGACTTCGGAAGCATATAACTTTTGGTCAAACCGCAAAAGGCGATTTATTTACATGCCAATTGATATTCCCGATACGGATGATATTAGTCCGAGATTGAGATTTATATATTTTCAAAGAGCTCTCTCTCTCTCTCTCTGGTCAACTGCAATAGCAATCAAAGGAAGATAACGCACAAGCAAGCATTAGTATCAATTGCGAAAAACACACACACACACACACACACACACACACACAAACATGCATACATATGTATGTATGCATGCAGACAGAAGCGCCAAAGTTGTACAGATGTGTTTATATGCATATGATTGCTTGTGCTTGAGGAGAAAATTATAATCAGATAAACACTTTAACATTCGCGAAAGTCTATCAAAGCGATGGATTGTTGGAATTATGATTTTACGATGATTTATGGCCATTAATACTTCCAGCCTGACAAGTGCGCACGGAGAAAATGATTTTTTGGTAAACTTTAAGATTATATCGGTTTCGGAAAAACACTTTAACATTCGTGATGGTCTATAAAATCGATCGCAGCACAACAACATGCCCTATTGCCTAATAGGGCCACACTGACTCAGAACAAAGTTGCGCAGGTCCACAAAAGCTGCGCTCAGAAAGATGAGCACTTGAGAACATTAATTGGACCAATCAGAGATCAGCGCCTAAGACGATCCAGAGCGCGTGAGCGTGGGCAGAAAAATATGACAGCGAACACACACACGAACTACTGACTGCTTATCTCAGGCTTGGGCTCATCTCTGCGCATTCACGTGTTTGTGTGGGTGTGTGTGCGCATGCTAAGCAATGTGTCGCACCGTTCCCACTCGCGTTATGATCGCTCGCTTATTTTCTGGGCGCCGGTTATTTCGTCAGCTGAAAGTCACTCACAAATTAACACTCTGTTAGTTTGCAGTATGAACATGTTTTGATTACCAGCTGCTGACCAGGGCGAGTCTGAAAGGGTATAATGTATATATTATTTAGCTTATTTAAAAGATGCTTTCTTAAGAATTGAGAATTAAACAAACAAGAAGAATTTTACTCCCAATTATCAGAACCAAATTTCGTTTTTAAAAATATTAAAAGTGGATTTGTAAAAAAAAGTTGTGGACCAAAACGATTCGTTTGTAAATTCAACCTTTTGTTTTAAGATTTTTTGGCATATCTCGGCTAAATAATTTCAGATTTTGGAATTTTATACCATTTTGGACTCGTAAGGATCAGTACTATCGATTGGCATCAAAAGAATTAAAATCTTAATTTTGGCCCAAATCGACCAAAAAGCAAGAGGTTACATCACGTTTTTTCTCAAAATCGGGGTCGGGTCGAAAATGAACACTTTTATGATAATTTATTTTGAATATCTCAGGTTAAAATTGTCTGATTTTGAAATATTATACCTTTTTGAATTCGTATAAATCCCTACTATCAATTGGCAATTATATAAACTAAAAATCGATGAGTTCAACAAATTTGTGGAACAAAATACGATTCATTAGTAAAGTTAATATATTTAGATGAGTTTGGGGAATACCTCTGGCAACAAAAATATGAAAATCAAAATTTGACCCGAACCGACCCAGCTCTACTATACTTACTCTCATGTAGATCAGATTCCTTCTGATATCATCAACTGATTGGAGAGTTAGAAAGGCGCCTCAGCTCTGTAGCGCAAATTGAACAAGCGCAACGTTTCAGCAATTTACGAGAAAAAGCATGCGCAGAGAAAAAAAAAATCTGAAAATAAACAACAACAGCAGATGAGAAGACAAACAGCAACCACAACAAATCATAAGCAGCAACTCAAAGGAAATAAATAAATAAAATATATATATATCTATGACTTGTGAAAAGAAATTGTGCGCAAAGAAAACCAAAGACATATATAATTTTCATGATTATTATGGCAAGGTGTCATTGAAGGTGAGAAATGGGAGCACACGTGTGTGCCCAAAACCTAAGCCCCCCTCCCCCAATTCAAAACAAAAACAAACCCGACCACAAGCCGAAGCCAAAGACGAAACCACTTGAAAAGAAATAGATAAAAAACGCGCAAGAGCGACAAGTGTAAAGGTGAAAACAATTTTGAATACCCTGTAAACGGTTGGCATTTATGTACATTAATGGGTATGCTACTAGCCAAGATTTAAAGCTTATTTGTCGAGTGAAATTATTATTGAAACTGAAAGCTTCAATTACATGATTTATTTGAATTATTATTAGAAGTCATAACTTTGAAAGTTTAAAAAAGAAATACAAGTTTTAAGGAACTGCACAAAGTGCGAGTGTGTGCTCTCACGCACACGTCACACAGACGCTGGCTAGCCAAAAGATTAAAGCACAACGAAGCTATTTAGAGCGGACAGAGCTTTTCGCACAAAAGCTCACTAATACTCTGACAAGTAGCATATTTTTAGAGGGTATCAGAACACTTTATGAGTAGTAGAGTAACAACTGATTACGTGCTGAGGATCGGAGTAGCTATCGCTTTTTTTTTTCGTTTGAGTGTAGAGGGGGCGGGCTAAGTCAACTGTTGCCCGTTTTCAATCAACTACAAAGACAAATAATTGAAAGAAAAAGAAAAAAAGACGAGCTGCGTTTTCATGAATGAATTTATGATTGCCCCACGTTTCCCCTTGGGCCACTTGTCACTTCACTGTGGCTTCATTGTTTTTTGACTTATTATTAAACACGCGCACACACACACGCATCTTGACTTGGCTTATTTGTTGTTTAATTTTCTCCGGTGTGCTTTGAGCCCACGTCCCACGTACGGACAACTCGAACCTGCGCTTCGTTTCGTTTGCTTTTGTTGTCTCAATTCATAAATAATAAAGAGTCGCAGCGCATTTTTTAGTTATAGAGAATTCTGGTCAATTGCTC